GTAAAGCGCTTTCAGGCATCTCAAAGACGTGATAAAGTGCTATACATTAAATGTAAGGATTATTATTTATTATTTTCTCCCCTATTCTTTATCAATTGTGTACCTTTTCCAATATTTTTTCATTTTTAGTATTTTGTGTTCGTTTTCAATTTTGACTGGTCAACAAGTTTGTACAGTCACGTTTAGGGCATTTTTTCTCCTTTCTGTCATTTTTATGTTCAACCTCCTGATTCAAAATTCAGTATGTAATTCCATTTTTGACATTTAACGTAGTACTTCGGAAAGTCTTTAATTTCTTTATAAACCTCATTCCCCTCCCTGTTATGAATGTTCTTTGTTGGTTCTTTGATGGAGCAGTTTTAGCCATGCTTTCCATTTTAAGTTGGTAAGAAGTTGTGATGCAACACCAGTATATATACCTTAGGCAGTGCGCAAAGTAACTTTTGCTGGTGTTGCATTTTAGATTTGTGCTCAGAATTTTGAATCTTTCAGGTTCTGAAGAATACAATTCAGAAGAAAGATTTTCAGTTACAAGGTGCCTGAGTGATAAGGATTGCAGTCAATCAAATGTCACATTCTGTCTGGTAGTGTTCTTTGCAAAGCCTTTGCATTTAATATGTGCGTCAGCTTGGCTCAGTGTCAGAAGGCTGATTTCATATCGGTACTTGAACTTGTGTAGTCTAATCTGACACTCCGAAGCAGTGCTGGCGGGGTGTTGCACTGTCAGAGATGCTGTACTTTGGTTCAGGTATTAAATTGAAGTTCCGTTCACTTATTTAGGTTGAAGTTAAAGATCCCATGGCACTATTTGAAAAGAGAACGGAGTTTCTCCCGGTGTCTTGGCAACAATCCCCAAATAAAGTAAAATTGGTCATTCGTTTCATGGCTGTTTGTGGAACATTACTGTGTGCAATAGGCTGGCACAATACAGAATACATAGTCACTCTCTTTCTATGTGCTCCCTCTTGGTGACATCATCCGCAGACATGGGGACAACTTGCACATGTATGCGAATCACACCCAACTCTTATCTCTGCCTCCACCCTCGGCTCCAGGACCATTGCTGTCTTGACAGAATGTCTGTCCATCTTTGATGATTCTGCAGTATTGATCATAAGATCAGTGACAAATTTTAGCATTCAAGTTGTATGATACAAGTCTGGTAAATCTGAAATTCAGTCACTATGTGGTCTTTTGACATCTGACAAGCTCAGCTTTAAGTTGCTTATCTCTGCATACCAATCAAACTTGTATACTAAGCCAGGAGTGTTTAAAGGGTTTCTTCCAGCAACCGTTATCCCAAGCTTCAGAGTTTCCTGTTCAGCTATTAGACAGACATTTACCTTCAGTGTGGTAAAAGGACCTTTACAGGCCTGCTTGTGTTATGGCAAACATCTTGATGATCTGGAGATCCAAATCCAATGTTGCATACCCAGGCTTACTCAACACCAACAGCTTAATTCAGGTGTTGTGAAACCCACCACCTGCTCCCTGGACCCCATCTCTACCCCACTCCTTACCTCCCAGCTCCACCTCCTTGCCCCTCTACTCACTGACATCGTTAACCTCTCCCTGTCCTCTGGTACATTTATCCCACTCCTTTATACTGGTACATCCCACTCCTTTAAAAACTGCTGCCATCATTCCTATCCTTAAAAAACCTGCCTTGGACCCTTCTCTACTCCCTAACTACTGCCCCATCTCCAACCTCCCTTTCCTCTCCAAGGTCCTGGAACGAGTTGTTGCTTCTCAGCTTTGTTACTTCCTCTCCCAGCACTCCTCGAACCTCTCCAATCGGGCTTCCGTGCCGCCCACAGCACAGAAACAGCCCTGGTCAAAGTTATAAATGACATTCTGTCTATCTGCGACCAGGGCTCCCTCTGCCTCCTCGTCCTCCTTGACCTCTCTGCTGCTTTCGACACCGTCGACCACTCTATCCTCATCCACCGCCTCTCCTCAAACCTCAACCGATGTCCTTGATATGTTCAGATTGTACCTCTCACACCGCCTGCACTTCATCTCATCAAATGGCTTCTCCTCTAGCCCCTGGAACGTATAGTGTGGCGTTCCTCAGGGCTCTGTCCTGGGTCTCTTCCTCTTCAACATCTATATGCTCCCTCTTGGTGACATCGTCTGAAGACATCGGGTCAACTTTCACATGTATGCGGATGACACCCAATTCTACCTTTCTGCCTCCACCCTTGACTCTAGGACCACTGCTGTCCTGACAGAATGTCTGTCAGACATCAAGTCCTGGATGAGAGCTAACTTTCTTCAGTTGAACGTCAACAAGACCGAGACCTTCCTGATTGGCTCCCGTCAGCGCCTCCTCACCTCAGGCGCTGACAGTATCACCATCCATGGTTGCACACTCCACCTTGCTGAGCCAGTCCGGAACCTTGGGGTCTTGTTCAACCCTCAACTTCCTTTCTACCCCACATTCGAGCCATGACCTGCTCTTCCCCCACTTCTGCAACATCGCCCGGCTCCGACACTGTCTCACACCGCAGGCTGCCAAAACCCTCATACACGCCTTCATCACATCGAGGCTCGACTATGCAAACTCACTGCTTATCGGCCTCCCCAACTCCTCTCTCCACAGGCTGCAGATCATCCAGAACTCTCCCACACTTTGACCTCCCAGCTTCCCCCCCACCCTTCCCCCTCTCCCATCCCGACCCTCAGCTCAGGTCCGAAACTCGGTCTGTCCAGCGCCTTGGGACGTCCTCCCGACGTGAAAGACGTAGTGGAGTCCTGTAGCTCAGTGGTTAGAGCACTCGCTTTGCAAGCGAGAGACCTGAGTTCAATTCCAGACAGGGCGAAACCTTGGGCAAGTTTCCTTACTCCACGCGCCTAATAATAATCCCTCCAAAAAACAAAAACAATAATAAATTGGTCATTTTCAATCTACGACTGTTTGTGGGACATTGCTGTGCGCAATTGGCTGCCGCGTTCGCCCACAAATATACAGTCAATTCACTTTACAGTGTGTTCTGTGAAGTGCTTTGGGACGTCCTCCCGACGTGAAAAGCGCTATATCAAATGCAAGGATTATTATTATTATTATAAAGACGCTATATAAATGTAATTTTGTTGTTGTTGTTTGTGGGTGAACCCATCAGCCAAGTTGAACACAGCAATGTCCCACAAACAAACAATAAATGAATGACCAGTTTTATTTGGGGATTGTTGGCCAAGACAAGGGAGAAACTCTGGGAGATTTGGACTTGAACTTCAAAGACTGAAAATCGGATTATTGTTAATATTGGTCCTGCCCAAAGTGCATGTATTCTCTACAAGCCATCAAGTATTTACTAATGTGGATATTGCGGGATATAATAAAACACAAGTCTTATTTTATCAATTCCTTCAACATAATTAAGAACTGTATGGCATAATAATATTTATATTTTTAATTAAGTATATTGTGAGCTTTCAAAGTGCGTCTCCACAATTTTCACAATTCTCCTATTTTAAATCAGGTTTCTCTGTAGTTTGCTCTTGTGAATGTTTCATTATTTTCCAAATATTGAATAATGTAGTTTCTTGCAGTCACGGAGCTTGGGGAATGCAAAATATCCCAGAGTTTGCGTGGTTTGTGGCAGAACTGCTTAATTTGTGCTCCTGGTAGATTTATGTGACTAAATATAACTTTGCGCATTAAACTAGAAATTGTATATACCTGTGATGCCAAAGGGACATTCCCTGCAGTCTCATTAGCATATATTTGGTGGGTGCATAATATTCCAGGGCACTGCTGATGATAGATCAACTTGGATCATCAAAGGACTTATTAGATGGCAGCCTGGTCATCAAGGACAGGGATTCTTCCGACTCAACTCCAGTTAACCCAGCTGGCCAAAGTCTGACAGGTGATGCTACCTGGACAAGTGGCAGGAAGCTTGCCACTTCAATGGCGCTGCATGCCTCTGGGGAGAGATTGTATATTTAGCAAAAAAATGCTATACAGAGCTTATGGGTTTTGAAGGTTAATGAAAGAGGATATGAAAGCTATTTTACAGAAATTTCAGAAACTTAATAGACCTTTCAAGGTTAGTCGAAGAGAAATCAGGTGCTAAACTTTAATTGATAGTGGTTTGTTTCAGATGAGTGTTCAAACCAATTGCTACTTTTATAGTTGGGGAACACACCTCTCATTATTTATTATTCCAAAAGGATGTTTGATTTCAATGCTGATTTGTTGAACTTGACATCCTTTTGGAATACTGAATTTTATAAACTTGGCATTGTTTATGAGATTCTGAGTTGGCTGAAATTCTGACTTGGCTGAAATCCATCTCAGTGGTTAGTCTGAGACTACAAAAAAAGGCTTGGAAGTTTATTAAGCATTTCGTAGATGCACTGAAATCCATTTTGAACTGTGGGTGCATAGTATTTTTTGTAAAAAGTAAAACTTTTTCCAGTCTATTCATGTGTGATGTTTACAGTAAATCAGAAATACACTAGGTGGATTGGAAAAGTGACAGTCATGTTTTCTTATAAGTGAAGTTTTGAAAATTAAGTTAGTCTTGGAGTTGATAGGTATGAGGATATTAAGTTCAAAGGTAAATTATGTCCTTCACAGTACTAACAATACATTCTTTCTTGCAATGCAACAAAAGTTGCTTACAAGATGCAAATGTTTTTTATTCCACCCTTCACGGTACTTCAGAGAAATTCCAGCCTAATTTTGCTTCAGAATCCATTTTTTTTCAAATCTTAGATAAATCCATTATTAATTGGATGTAGTAAAATGTTTGTGGGAGAAGGACTGAAAGCTTGTATCAGAGTGAGGTTGTATTCATACAGTATGTGAAAGGGATGATCACTTAACAACCAAAGGAGGAAACGCTGCTCCTCAAGTGAAGTCTTCCCTATCGTCCCTCCAAATCCACCATCCCAAGTACAGGCAGTATCCTACTGTACTGGTACATAACACTGTGATTTATCATTTCACCAAGAGAATGATGTTATAAATTCATGAATTTATTCTGTTGCAGATTGAGATAAAAATGAAAAAGACTGAAGCCATCCGGTGGGAAAGCTTGGAAGGGGAAGGAATCGTAATGAGTGTAAAACACTTCACCCCAGGTTAGATATGTCATAAGTTATGACACTATTTTCTGCCAACTCAAGAAAACACCTTTAATTATTGTTTGTAAACATTACCAAGCAAGAGGAGGAACAAATCTTTGGTAGCAATATCACACAAAATTTAAGGTGCAAGCCAAAAATGTATTTGACCCAAAAGACTAATACATGTAATACTTGGCTTTGAATATTATATTATTAAGGTGTGGAAAAATGTATATTGTATTGTGATTTTTGATTTTTATCAGTACGTTTTTTCCAAGATGGAGAGAACATTGAGAATACCATTCTTTAAGAAATGCATGGCTTGCATGCATACAGGACTTTAGATTGAACCACACCATAATTGTTTTCCCATTGTTGGAAAGGTCCAGTTGCAGAGAACTGCCTCTCTGGGCTTATTCACAAGGGGATGAAGCGGAGAGGCTTTGGGATGGAATTCCAGAGGGTGGGGGCAGAAAGGCTGATGGTCTGTCCGCCAATAGTGGAGCAGGCAGGGCAGGGGACATGGAACACATCAGTGCCTGGAGCACAGAGGGAGTGGACAGGTTGTTGAAGTTTTAATAGGTCGCAGAGATCGGAAGGAGCAAGACTGGAGGGCTTTAAAGGTGAGGACCACGAGCTTGAAATCGTTCCTCTGGGGGATGGGGAGCCAGTGAAGATTGGCAAGGATGGGGGGGTGTTCGGCTCACAGAGCTTAGCACTGGAGAGGACATGAGCTGCATAAGTCTTACAAAAGAGAAATTAGGCAATTGGTTCATACATCACACATTTCACAAGAGGTTTGATTGAAAAAGGCCAGTCTCCACAGTTACAGGACTGGTACAATGAAGGGCAGCACAACTCGGTTCTCCCTCACCTTGTTCAAGGCCTATTGTGAACGCCCTTTCATCTTCTTCAGTAGAGTTACTTGAGAGCAGTATTTTTTAAGGCAAAAATGCTGAAATTTCCCTTTCTCTGAGAAAAGGAAGATGTTTTGGGGAGTGGGGGGAAGTCTAAATAATAATAATCCTAGCATTTTATACAGCACATTATCACTTTGGGGAAATGTCTGAAAGCACTTCACAGGATATACTGTAAAGTGGATTGACTGCATTTTGTGGGTGACAAATAACCATGGAATGAGTGATCAATTTAATTGGGGGGTTGTTGGCCAGGACACCTGTAGAAATCTCCTTTTAATTTCCACCTGAACAGGCAGATGGGACCTCGCTTTAATGTATCATCCAAAGGATTTAAGAAGGTGGCTACATTAAAAAAAACTTTAAAAATTGATTTCAAACAAGTTTTGGAGTATCCAGGACTCTTTTGCTTTGTTACATCCGAACAACAGCCTGCTTCGGTTCTCCCTCACCTCGTTCAAGGTCTATCTCAAGATGTACCTCTTTGATTAAGTTTTCAGTCATCTCTCACCTCTGAACCCTCTTGAGCTCTGAAACTTGGGTGCCCAGACAATAGTGTTAAATGCTTTGAGACATCCTCCCATCGTAAAAGACAATAACTGTAAACCGTATTGTATGTATCCCCCAGGTCTCTGAAAGGTTTGTATATTCACCTCAGGTCTCTGAAAAGTTTGTATATTCACCTGTAGAATTGCTTATTAAGTACAGCGAGACACTATCCATATAAATGCAAGCTGTTGTTGTTCTTATCTTCCAAGAGCAGACAAAACGTAAGTATTCTGTGTCTCCTGAGAAGGTATTGGAGAAACCGGGTTCATGGGTGAAACAGCTATATTCAGTGGACTCTTAAATGAAAAATATTGCCTCATATCATGTACAATAGGTGGTGATGTGCACAAATGCTCTATCCAAATTGACTTAACTGTCACACAGCTGTCATTTCTGCTACAGTTGGGCATCAGATGCAAGTTAATATAGATAACATTGGCCAGATGGCCCAGCTGCTGCAGCAGTCAGCCATAAACCAGTTGGATACGTGAGCCAGGATGGCTGCCCAGAGCATTATCCTCTGCTGATTTAGTTGGATCCCATTCTTTGCCCTTGACTGACAGAAAAGCTTGCTGGCTGACGGGAAGGAGAGAGTAACCTACAGATTTTCAAAACACAACGGAGATTATGTTTTTTTTGCCAATGCCTCATTTTTTAATCAAAAATTAGTTCAAGTTATAACATCATTGAGTCCAGGGACAAAGTATCCCTGTCATAGAATGAAATTGGTCACCATGTTTTTCTACTACAGAGAGACATTGAAATGCAGGGGCTGGGGCAGGGGTTGGAGAACAATTATCCTTGCATTTGATATAGTGCTTTTAATGCTGGAACATCGGTTCACAGGGTTGTGAACGCTGGTTGTGTAGTTTATATGCATTTACAGGCAAATGCAGAGAGCAGTGAATGATCAATTTATCTGGAGGATTGTTGTCCATGATACCAAGGGAAACAAACTACCTACTATTTTTTAAAATTGTCATGAGATCCTTAATGTCCACCTGCAAAGCTGACGGGAGCTCAGTTTAACATCTTCTGAAGGACCGCACCTCAGAACTGTAATCTAAGGCTGCTTTCACTATATTACTATCAATATGTTCCTTACTTGTCAAGAGAACAAGATTCTGATTCTATTGTGAGGGGTGACTGCCAAGTCAGAGTAGCTGATGCCTTTTGTACAATGAGTGATTGTGCCAGAGTATTCATGAAATATGCTGGGCACCATTTAGCTTTCCATCAGGTGTGTTGCAGATAATGGGGTGGACTCTTAAGGCAGATGATGTAGCTAATGCCTTTTGTGTCTCTAGCTGAAGTCATAAGCCACCTGAAGCTGTAGTCTCCCAGTCATATACTAAGCAGGATCTTATTAAGATAACTGGAAAGGAAATGGGGGCTAATGTATGAAAGCAAAGGGCCTTTAAAGCAGTACAAGATGCCTCAAGGAGAAAGCAAGGAATGCTATATTGGCAGATTATAATCGAGCACATTGTGAGGCTGAATATGTTATTGCAGAAATGAAGTGGGATCAGCTGGTTACATCACTTTGTAAGGAATTACAAGTGCACTAAAATAATCTTAATTTTTTATCTGTCTGTTATTGGCCATGGTCAGAGGGTCTCTTCTGGGATGATGCTAATGCTGTACAAGTTTGATGTTTTACACCAGTGGTGGCCAACCTGCAGCCCACGAGTCACATTACACATGCGTAAAATAATCACATATAGTGCAAGTTTGCTATCCGTGTTCTACAGCATAACTACAAAGGCATGCTTTGGGTCTGATGTGGAATATATTAAACAGCATTATATTATTGCCTTGCTAATGGTGAGGCAGGAGGTGTTTACAGTAATAATGCTGAGTTCCTAAAAAATGCTCTTGGAGAAGGGTTGGGGAATGGCAAAGTTTGTACAGATCAATGCCAAGGATTGCCGATTTAATTAAGAGAAGCCCTTCTCGGGCTACTGAATAGGATTTTATTAGAGGCATATGCCGTCAGTGTTCCAGATTGCAATTGTGATACCAGGACTCTTAAGATGATGCTTCAGGTAGTGGTAGTTAAGGCACCTAGATCAGATGAATTAGAAGCCTGTAGTGTGATCAGGAAAGACCAGGCTATATTTTGTTCTTGTGGGGAGTGTGTGGGGCTGGCTGTAGATTTTATGAAATTGCAGGACTTTTAAGACTCGAGGGAAATGCACAATAAAGTGACTTTTAACCTAGTGCTTCATGAGATCTTCATGGAGAAACTGTAAGCAATGGGAGACCATGACCAAATCTTGGATTTTATCTACAATGTATATTCCAGTTTGAAGATCTATGTGTAAAGGTGACTTAGCAACCCTACACCTTTTCGAAAGTGGGTGAGGCAAGGTTGTCCACTATGCGCATTGTATTTGATATTTCTTGCAGAGCAAAAAATTATCTTGGCATGTGTTCAATGCAATTCCAATTGTCCTTCTTCTGTGTTTGCAAAGATCCCATTGCCAGCTGAGATTTTACCACAAATCCATTTCTCAGCTTGGTTATAGACCTTGCAAAGAAGCCATAATAAAGAGTTGTATGACCATGAGCTCCTGAACCTATTTTGAGATCCAGGACCAAACTGTGAGGTTAATTTTAAAATAAGCTGCTGCTTCTTAGGAGATCTCTGCCCTACAATGAATTGTCACTCATCCTGGGGGTGGTATCTGCCTCATAGTGACCACTTCTTACCACAACTCCTTATATGTGAACCTGGATTAAGCAGTGGGAAACAGGTAAGATTGACCCCATGCTGAAAGCTGAAATCTATTCAATATTTAATGAGGAACTATAAGGCTTGGGATGACAGCTGCTCAAAGACATTATCTGGAGTCAGGCAACTACTACCTAAGCTCACACCTTAAACCAATGGAAGCACTGCTCAATGAGTAAGGATGAGTGTGGTCAGAAGGATTGTGATGATGCACTCACGCATTTTATGCTGACCTCATCATGCTTCTTGTTAAAACATCTTAAAGCATCTTCACAGAATTCACTGTGAAGTGCAGTGACTGAGTATTATGTGTAATCCTGTCTCAGTGGCAGCAATGTCACCTCTGAGTCAGAAGGTCGTGGGTTCAACCCCTACATTGGGACTTGGAATCACATAGTCTAAGATGAAACAACAATGCAGTGCTGTGGGGGGTGTTGGAGATGCTGTTCTTCAGATGAGATGTTAAATCAAGGTCCCATCTGCCTGTTCAATTGAACAAAGGCACTATTCGAAAAGAGAAGGGAGTTTCTCCCAGTGTGCCGGGCAACAAATAAAATTGGTCACTGAATGGCTGTTTGGGGGACAATGCTGTGCACAAACTGGCTGTTGTATTTCGCCCACAAAATACAGTCAATCCACTTCACAGTATATCCTGCGAAGTGCTTTGAGACATCCTAGCAACATGATAAGGTGCTATATCAAATGCAAGGATTATTATTTATTTGTAGGCAAACGTGAAGGGATTATTATGATGACAGCCACTTAGCACACAGTAACATCCTACAACCAACCATGAAGGAAATGACCAATTTTTT